TGCGGTCACTAAACACGAAACACTCTATCGTACAATTGAGGATCGTGTTGCAGATGTTGAAGAGGGTATGTGAGCTTTAAGCCAAAAAAATCACCTTTAGCGGCGAAATTCTATAAACCCGTAAACCTTTACCTACCTATTCCAGTAACTTTTACCTATAAATGGAGTACTCAGTAGTTTAATTATCTCACCTCTTCATTTTCTCCCACTACAATGATAGCCGTCCAATAGCTCTTCTCGTATTGTTAGAGCAATGACTTACATTAAATGTAATCGTAGATTGCTTATCATTTCACACTGTGAAACAGAGCATTTAGGTGACAGCTGCTACAAAATAGTCAAGAGATAGAAATTTAAGAGATAAAGGATAAAAATGTAATTTTTTCTAAAAATTTCTAAAAGGGTGATAGTAAGATGCCGCTTAGTGAAATCTTATTCCCAGCATGTAAATTTTATTCCCAGCAGGTAAATTTTATTCCCAGCTGATTCAGCTAGATAAATGCAGTCTAGAACCCAAATGAGAGCCAGGAATTCAGTCGAAAGCGAGCGCTTTCGACTCACAATTCGCTGACTTTTCAGGCAAACGCAACGCCGAAATCAAGCTCATTAAAGCCAAGGAACTGGTAAGTTCACAAGGTGAACAACTGAAACAATACGAAGAGGAGCGACGTACGATGAAGTCGAAAATTATGATGTTTGAGATGGAGGCACGCGGAAAAGATGCTAAGATTCGACATCTCAGTGTAGGTTTCAATGGTTCAGTTGACATTTTTGGGCTTATGGGCCTTTTAGTGATCTTTTACAACTTACTCAACAAGTAAGAGTAATCAGCGAAACAAGTAGCAAGTAAATAACAAGTAACAAGTCTTTTACAACTTATACAACTAGGACGAAACTCAAAGAGGCTGCATACCGAGATCATTCCGCTGGAAAGCTGTTTCGAGAGCGCAAGTTTTGTGGTTATATATGCTGATTTTAGTGTATACTACGAAAAACCAGCAAAGTCATTTTATAGTTGATTCCTGAATTCATTTATGAATTCATCGACCAAGATTGAAGTAACAGCATTAAATAGACAAAAGAAAGTTGCAGATACGGTAANGACAAAAGAAAGTTGCAGATACGGTAACTAGCCACGCCCACAAATTACTGTAGACACGCCCACTATCAAACATTTGTGGGCGTGGCTAGTTACCGTAGTTAACCACCTCCGGAGGTACTATTAATGTACCCTGATTCCCCGGATTCCCGGGTATATGCACCTTCATAACTAATAGGCGTTTCAGGAACAGACTAGTGCAAAGTTTGATTATTGGAAATTACTGAATTTTTCCTATAATTCATGAAAAATTCTCTCTCTCGCCCATAAACATTTTCCAAAATGGAATATTCCCAAATGAAATTTTAGGACTTGATCAAGACTCTAAAGACTGATCTGGAGAATGCGCGCAGTGAAGTGCATAACCTTCGCGATCGGGAGGATCGCTACGAGATGACCAAGGTTCATGTGGAAAAACAAGTGACTTCGGACGATTCCGAAGCTCGTCTGAGACAAATGATGACTTCGTTCGAGAATGAGCGTCAGGTGAGCTAATTAACTGGGTTATGGAATAAGCAAAGAAAATTGGAGTTTGAAGTGGGCATTTGAGCGTTACAAAACGTTAAGATCATGCGATTCAAACAGATAGAACATTGAAGAGATTCATGAAGAAAGCATTTGATTCGTTTGTATCAGAACGGTTATATCTTCGATGAATTCGATGGAACACGAAACCAGTGTAAGTTTATGGTGGCAAATCTAGGAAAATATTTGAAATTGCAGACAATATTTCAAGTGAATGCAATAGGTCGAGAATCTACAGCCAATGTGCTACGAATTCCGGTGATTCTGAGTGGTTATTGCCTCATAAACCATGTGAAAACATTTCAGGGATTCAACGAAACCGTCCGAAAGCTCACCTCACAGCTCAGCAGTCTTCAGACGAAGAACAGCGATCTAAAGGACGATGTTGATAAGCTGAAACGTGATCTGTCGGATGCGGAAAAGACCGAAGCTGAGCTGAGGAGAAACTTCGACGAGAAGAGCCGTGTGGCCATCGAAGTTCAACATTTGAAAGATCAAGTCAGTGCAAAAAATCGTCTGATTCCGTTTTTCCGTTGTGAACACTGCTTTTGAATTTCCAACTAATTCCTCATAACACGTTGAAAATTCCAACTTGATCTAGCAAAATTTAAAAATTTTTTGCCCATCACCATCAGTTACCTTACTGAATATCACATCATTCCAGAGTTCCGTAAACTTTCACAATACAACTAAATTATGCTCGCAATTAGATTATTTGATCCCCCCCCCCCCCCTTGAACAA